TAACTTGCAGAAGATATGTAACAAATGGGTACAGTAGCCCTAAATGTTATCAAAGTGAATTTTATCCCGCGGAGGGACGACTTAAAAATGATTTTTTCTAAATTACAATGACCTTGTTTTGTAACCTCATAATTAAACTTATACATATGGTAAAATCTCTATAACATGCTTAATAAGTATGTAACTGACCTGTTGGTTGATATAAAATGGCAACGTGTCTTCAAGGTATATCTCAAGAATTTCTCTATACGTCTTGTTCCACTGGCTGATGCGAATGGAATGGATGACCAGGGTCCGCAGGCAAATCACGTGACTTCTTTTCCCGCCACAGAAGCTGGGGAAGCACCATCTATAAATAGATACATAATCCCCGGATTAGTCCCCAATTTCACCACAGTATTATATGTTCACTATTGTTACGTAACATCGTCTCGAGCTGATATGACCAACAGCTAAATTCTTAGAATACCATGAACCTTTAATCAAATAAGTAAAATTCATATATTTATTTACAATTCAGGCTTAAATTAAAGTACTACACAGTTACAAAATATAATGTTCTAAAAACATAATTGTAAAATAATATTTTATTTGTATGTTCAAAATGGCAATAGAATTATAAGCTTTTCAGTATGTAATAAAATGATTTTATAACACTTCTGGTTAAACGAATGATGACTACAAATCGCAATAAAAGCGTCTGGTTGTACTCCTGGTGTGGAATCATCCAACATATTTTTATTTACCCTTGGTTTGAGTAAATAATTCCTATGAAATTATAGTTTATGATTTTATAAATTTCATTGAACATCCACAAATGTTACATAAATATAATATATAATCATTTCATTTAATTACCCCATGCCCATATATGTTTCCTTCATTTTTCTGTGACACTGTTGCACTGCACCTGTAACTGAGACTACTAACGTCACGCATTTAGCAAAAATAGCAGCCGAAATCTTACAAGTTTTCTTTCAGACTAGAAAATTTGTATTTTTATGATTTGACATTATGCATGTCTTTCAACATGGCTAAATATATTTCAATATACACAAAACGTTCAAGAAATGTATCAACAGATGAAGTATTCACTGGTAAAGGTAAAATCTATGAAAACGTTGCGATGCGACGTCCACAAAAAGTTAAAAAAAAAATGAGCAATTAAAATATGTTAAAATCTTAAAAAATGAACAGTAAGCATGGAATATTATCAAAGTGCTCCAAATATTTGGAGAAATAAAACAAACATCAGCTATTCGATTCAACGGATATGAGTTTAAGCATAGATGCAATTAGGGTACTCCTCATTACAGAACCATGGATCGTTTCAATGGAGGTCGGTTCAAACTTTTTTTTAATGATTCAATATGGGTTCAAATTAAATCTGTGGAACTTTATAGTAAATAAGGATACATCTACAAAACACAAAATTGAAACTTTTGTCTGGATAATAAATAAACGTGAGTGAAAAAAACTCAAAATAGGTTCAATCAATTCGTGTACCCTCACGTTTGATGATGAATAATGTTCATATTTTGATGCTTTTGTTTCTAGCCTATTATAACTGTTTTCATTGCTTTGTGTGCTGGCAAGATTATCAAGTTTTTTGCATGCAGTGACAATCTTTTCAAGAAAAATTCTCCTTTTAACTGTGTATTTTGGAGTGGCTTACCATAGGGTACCTTTGAAGTAGGATTCTCAAGAAAAAACTCATCACTTTGTAATGCATAAACTGTGGTCACCAAAAATTTGTCCTACCATTGCTTCCAATCCTGTGGCGTTTTAAAAAAATTGTGCAGCCATATATTACCATTGCAATTTTCATTTCTGCAGTGTGTAGTTTCCTCAACATCCAGCTAGGTATTTCCTGGTCTACTGTATTTATTTATTTAAATATTCCCTGGTCTTCTGTATCTAATTCTTTAGATTAACGAGTGTAAAACTGTTCAGTTTTCTATATAATGTTGCAGTACTACCTATATTTCATTTACAGTAAGTCTATGTGATCCATCTCTAATGTGAGTTGGAGATTTGAATGTAACATCTTCTGGCCACCAACAAGGTGCTTGGAAAATATTCAATACCCGTTTGTCTGCAGTGCTGAAGAAATGTTTCAAAATCCTGGGTAGAATCAGGCAGAGAACATTCCAATCATAATCTTTATGGTTTACAGACGGCAGCTGTACTGGAGGTCTCTCACCTGCAGTTGTTTCCAATTCATTATCATTACTATTTTTGAAAACTGTTGTCCTTGTTAGGCAGCACTGCACGAAGTCTTCCTGAACCACTTTATTTTTACAGAATGCCTCCATGTGAGGCGGTCCTTCAAATCGTATTTGCTTGCCCTGTAGGAACATGCTCACAAAACTTGGTTGGTCTTCTTGGGAGAATAAACTCATCCAAGTCCTAGCCTCTTCACTGTGACGGTTTCTTTGCTCAACAAGAGCATTTTTTCTGACCTTCTTTGGGGTGTTTCCACAGCCTCATCAGCAGATTCCTCTATCTCTTCTAGATTTGATCCATTTAATTTTACCTAGGCTTAGTTGGTGTTCTTGCTATATATTCCGCTGGTGGAACTGTTTATACTGAAGATGATATTATCAAAATGCTGGACTTTTTGATCGACATTATATTTGTTGAGTTTGGATGATTGACATTTCAACTAACAGTCGGTATTCCAATGGATACTAATTGTGCACCCCTACTGGCCGATTTGTTTTTGTACTCGTATGAAGCAGAATTCATTCAAAACCTTCTAAAAGACAAAAAGAAAAGCATCTCGCGAAATTCTTTAATTTTACTTTCAGATATATTGATGATGTCCTATCACTGAATAACCCGTATTTCAGCCAGTACTTACATCCCATATATCCCAGTGAACTTGAAATTAAGGATACTACTGATACTAGGAGGACTGCTTCATACATTGATCTTTTACTCAATATTGACACAGATGGACGACTTCACACTAAAATCTATGACAAACGACCCGATTTCAACTTCCCAATTATCGATTTCCCATTTCTCAGCAGTAACATACCCTCTGCCCCATCATATGGTGTTTACATATCTTGATACGTTATGCTCGTGCATGTTCACACTATACGGACCTGATATACAGGAGTGTGCTCTTTACGCAGAAACTGCTCCAACAGAGTTACGAGGAGGAAAGATTAAAAATGACACTCCGTAAATTTAATGGACACCATCACGAATTGGTTGATCTATACGATGTGTCTGTGTCTAAACTAACTAACGACATTTTTAACACGTCTTAGATTGTGGTTTACCATCTACGTCGTCTGGTCTTCTGAGTACCGAACGTGACCTATTCCCGAATATGACTTTTGCTGAGTGTAAATTCGCATTGCTATTAGACGTGTCTCGGTATTTGTATATCCAACATTCATGTATTTAGTTATTATGTCCATTTGTAATTCTGGTTGGATGCTATTTTGTGGTTTAAATTCTAATTTTTTTCTTTATGTATGTAAAAGTAAAGATATTAATCACCTAGTTCATTTATAAGATTTTTAGGTTAAAAGCAACTATATGCACATGATTCATTTGTTTTTTCACAGTTTGATTTAGAAGAAAAACCATAGTTATAAAATACAAATAATTACACCATTACTAACACAATTCCATATTAATATTCTTGTAATGGTTAGAAAATTCTTCAAATTACAAACTTAATCCCAATTTCATATTGTATTTTTAGAAATTTACCTGTGACGTCACTTTTTGTGGCGTTGATACATTCGTGTGACTCACAGTTCATTATTCTATTGTACTGGATTTGTGTTCTGTCGTAAATTAATTTTAGGTGTTCGTTGTTATTCTGTGGTTTACATGTTGAAATGGACTATTATATTATTTAATTATGTATTTCTCTGTTCTGAATGATCTTGCATTTATTTGTACTTTATTCTTGTCACGTAATGTTGTCATTTTAGAGGTATTTCTAACATTGATATATAAGCGGGAGGTTTGGCTAGCCATAAAACCAGGTTTAACCCACCATTTTTTCTTAAAAATGTCCTGTACCAAGTCAGGAATATGGCAATTGTTATCACATAGTTTGTTTTTATGTATGTTGGCGTTTGTTTTTGTAGCAGTTCAGTGTTTCTGTTGTTCCGTTTTGTTTCCTCTTATAGTTGATGTTTCCCTCAGTTTTGGTTTGTGACCCGGATTTATTTCAGTTAAATCGATTTATGACTATTGGACAGCGGTATACTACTATTGCCTTTATTTAGTCAGGACGTCGTATAGTTGGGCTTGTTTTCAATCTCGTGGTTATTCACTCTTTTGGGCAGGGTAGAGCGGTTGGAGCTGGACTCGGATGTCTAGTTTCCGGTTGTGAAGCTCGGGCATCAGATTTAGAGGGGCACATGACACTGGCTATGGCAGAGAAGGTGCCGGACCCCTTACTGTTGATCCACTTGTTTCCGGGGGAGGGAGGGGCGAGATCAATGAGGTAGGGAACTTGAGGTCGGCCTACCACAATGCTTATTTTGGATACGGGCTGATGGTTCACTCTAACCATGAGCAGAAGGACGCCTTAGGGTGGTCTGTCCTCAGCGTATTCTACTGGAGAGTGACACCCCTTACTTTCCCCCGCCTAGTGCAAGGACTTTAGCGGAAGTGAAGGCAGAGACTCCTGAGGAATTACTAAGGCTGTCAAATATAAATGACAGCCGTCTGTATTGGGTAGACGGGATCTGATAGGCAAGCCCAATCTCACAACAGAGAAAAGTATGTATATAATAGCCCGTTAGCCGGTAGTTCTTTTTAAGAGCCAATCTGCCAGAAAACCATGCAAAACCGTCCGAATGTCACTTTTTCCAAATGAGTTCATATTTGGCATATTGGTGCACCTTAGTAATGTAAATATAAATGACAGCCGTCTGTATTGGGTAGACGGGATCTGATAGGCAAGCCCAATCTCACAACAGAGAAAAGTATGTATATAATAGCCCGTTAGCCGGTAGTTCTTTTTAAGAGCCAATCTGCCAGAAAACCATGCAAAACCGTCCGAATGTCACTTTTTCCAAATGAGTTCATATTTGGCATATTGGTGCACCTTAGTAATGTAAATAACCACACAAATTTTTTTGGGAAAATATTGAACCGATCTGGATATTTTTTGAGCGCCATGTTTTAACAGATGAAATTGCTCGAAAACAGCAAAAATAAGCCTTTTTTGGCATATTTCGCTGGTTTAAATAAATAAATATGGTAACATTTATAATTTTTTGATAGTTGTTCCTAGTAATACATCACTTTAAGTGTAAGAATGCATAGAATTAACAATGCTGTCTATTAAGTGTATGTATAATCTAACTGTTTCAATATGTCTTATTTAGCTACATGTCCAAAATGGCTGATTTTGGTCATCTTTCAGAGCCAAAATACTCCAAGACCCGTTTATTATTGTAAAACAACATATCTACTTGCAAAGTATAACTATATATACCCAATCAAAAAAAATATCAAGCTCGGCAAATAATGTTGGTGTCTGGTATATGCCACAACAGAATGGGGTAACCTGCATATTCAAATTTTCTCAATTTTGCCGTCTAATTTGTAACTACTGACATATGATAGGATCTGGACTTATAAATAAGTATAACAACAAATGGAAAAGAATAACTAATGTTTCATTTAATACATTAAGAAAATAATCATACATAAATACAAATTATTCATTATAAATCTAGAGGCTCTGAGGAGCCGAAATAGATCGTATTGACAAATTGTGCACCTAAAACGATAAAAAACACATATTTCAAACGCAATCAATTTAAATTAGAAGTTAAACAATTCAGAATAAGTTCAGACTGTAAAAAAAAAGTTTCTTCTGACCACTTTTACAATTTATTCTTATAATATATTGATATAGTTGTTGGATAGTAGCAGAAAACTGTGAAAATTTGTAAATTTACACATTTCAGGGACAATAGCTCAAAGATGTTATGTCCAATTTTTCAGAAAAATTTTGGGTATTTAGATCTTGTCATGTTGATAGTTTTTATCAATATATATATATATATATATATATATATTGAAAAGTTTTTGAATTTTGTATACATATATATATGTATGACACTTCTTCTAAAGTTATTAAGATGATGGTTTAAAAGTGAAAACTGTAAACAGATGATTTTAACAGACACTTAGTGATGGAAATTTTTTTATAACCCTTTGAGCCTAGTATGCTAACAAGGCAAGATTTGCCAGGTACCTATATCTATGTTGCTGCAATGTGGTCAATACAAACATGAAAATCATAAATGCTTCTAAAAAAAATCCCATAACTAGACGAAAAACAAATTACTTAGTCTATATATACCAGTGCAAAATTTATAAAGAATTTTGAATGAAATTGGATAGCTGTTAAGATTACTGTACCTATAATGCTCTACATCACATCCTCAGAGATAACAGAATTAAAATAAGTCATATGAATCTTTAAATTTCAATAAAGTTGAATGTGTTTTTTTATACTTGAACGGCTATAGGTTTTACTATAAAACAAGTGTACATTAACTTTCTTGTAAAAGAAAAACCATAACATTAAAATCTCCATAAATGTTGAACTGTTATTTTTTGAGACATCATCCCATGGAAGATTTAACTGATGTTTTAAAGTTGGAAAGTTTCTGTTGCTTGTTTGGTTGGTTGAAATTGTTTCTGTTAGAAGCATTATCTCCCAATCTGATGTTGACTGCTGTGAAAGTTCAGTTGTTGTTGACACTGACAGAAAGGTTAGCTGTGAGTCTAGATCTGAAAACCACAAAACATACATACATAAATCAGGCTGTTAGTTTTCATATTTTTTCATTTTCTTATTTTGGGGCCTTTTATGGCTGATTATATATGCAGTATAGGTCTTGCTCATTGTTGAAGGCCATATGGCGTATGAAGACCTATAGCTTTACTTCTATGTCATTTGTCATATATACCACTGACAGGAAATAAAATTGACAACTTTTACTAAGTGGATGCAGTTACAAAATTCTCCCAACTAAAGCCAAATCATTTTTGCAGAATAGTTATTATCCACTCCTTTTAAGCATGTCCAAATAGTCCTTAACATCTTTACAACAATAAAAATTGCCTCCATTTGGTTTGGCATGTCAAATTACCTCTCAATATAATTTTACATTGAAAACAGACAATGGTGATAATTTGACTGCTTTTAGTGACAATCTTTGAAATGGTGGCCATCTTTATATCTGTTCTCTGTGTCAAAGTACAGCTAAATATCAATATTCTTTAAAATCAAACTCAACAAAATTGAAAATTTTACCCTTTATTTGCTGTGTCCATCTTTAAAAAAAAAATTTCATTGTTTTGTTGGCATGTCAAAAGTGCTATAATTCCTTAATGTCAATTTTCATATAAGGCCATCTTGAAAATGTTTGCCATTTTGGAAGAAAAAACAACCTTACTTTGTTTAGCAAGTCAAACTACCACGACTATCCCTAATTAACAATTTTCATTAAATTAACCAGTGTTGAAATTTGTGCCATCCTTGGTGGCCATCTTGAAAATGTTTGACATCAGATAATCATCCACATATTGTGCTTTTCTTTTCACTAAAGTTTCATTTAAAAAGATAACACCAGTTATCTCAGAAAAGGACAAATTTTGTGGAAGATGAAGAAAAAATGCAAGTTTGGACAGAACATTCAAGCTATAACAGCTCTAAATTTGTAATGGGATTAACTATTTGACAAAGAATAGGTTTCTAACACAGAATAAATATGGTACATGCATAAAGTTTAATAGATTCAGCATATCAGAGAACCCCAAGATCAAATTAAGATTTAAAATTTAGTTTAATTTTGGACCCTTTGGATCTCAATGTAAACCAATTTCATAATAGGGCCCAAAAACTAAATACAGGTTAGATTCAGGCTGAATCAGCATCTTAAAAATTATTGTTGAAATCAAACACAGTTAAATTATGGACCCCATTTGAACCAACTTGAAAACTGGGACCAAAATCATAAATCTAAGTACATATTTATATTCAGGATATTTGATTATTTCTATTTATCATTCAAAGAACCCTAATTCATTGTTATTAGACTTCAAGTTTTGTTAAAATTAAACTAAGTTAAAAGTTGGACCCTTTGGACTTTAAAATGTGGACAAATTTGAAAACCGGACCAAAATTAAAAATCTAAATATAAAACATTTGCATTTTGTACATCAAAAGAACCTCAAGAATTCAAGTTGTGTAGAAATAAGAAAACAAATTTTGGACCATTTTGAAATCAATGTGAACCAATTTAAAATGAGGCCCAATTGCAACATCTTAAATTATTTAAATACATTGTTAGATTTAGCATATTTAGAACCCAAATAATGTATTTATTTTAATTTGTTCTTGTCCTAAACATGCATGAACTATTTGCCATTGGACATTAGCATTACCAACAACCAATCAATTAATCGAACAGGTGAAATATCTTCAAAAGTACCAATAAAAATCTCCCCCTTTTATATTTGAAAAAGTAAAATCACAAAAATACTGAACTCCGAGGAAAATTTAAAAAGGAAAGTCCCCAATCAAATGGCAAAATCAAAAGTTCAAACACATCAAACGAATGGATAACAACTGTCATATTCCTGACTTGGTACAGGCATTTTCTTATGTAGAAAATGGTGGATTGAACCTGGTTTTATAGCTAGATAATAAACCTCTCACTTGTATGAGAGTCGCATCAAATTCCATTATATTGACAACGATGCGTGAACAAAACAAACAGACACAATAGGTAAAATTGTCAAAAATAGGGGTACAGCAGTCAACATTGTGTTATCATCTTAATCACTATAAAAACAAACAAATGTAACGAAGAAGCACAACTAGAGGCTCTAAAGAGCCTGTGTCGCTCACCTTGGTCTATGTGCATATTAAACAATGGACACAGATGGATTCATGACAAAATTGTGTTTTGGTGATGGTGATGAGTTTGTAGATCTTACTTTACTGAACATTCTTGCTCCTTACTATTATCTCTATCTATAATGAACTTGGCCCAGTAGTTACAGTGGAAAATATTTTGTAAAAATTTACAAAAATTTACAAAATTTATGAAAATTGTAAAAAATTGACTATAAAGGGCAATAACTCCTTAAGGGGTCAATTGACAATTTTAGTCATGTTGACTTATTTGTAGATCTAACTTTGCTGTACATTATTGCTGTTTACAGTTTACCTCTATCTATAATAATATTCAAGATAATAACCAAAAGCTGCAAAATTTTCTTAAAATTACCAATTCAGGGGCAGCAACCCAACAACATGTTGCCTGATTGGTCTGAAAATTTCAGGGCAGATAGATCTTAACCTAATGAACAATTTTATACCATCAGATTTGCTCTAAATGCTTTGGTTTCAGAGATATGAGCCAAAAACTGCATTTTACCCTATGTATTATTTTTTTGCCATGTCGGCCATCTTGGTTTGCGGGCAGGGTCATCGGACACATTTTTTAAACTAAATACCCTAATGATGATTGTGGACAATTTTGGTTAAATTTGTCTTAGTAGTTTCAGAGGAGAAGATTTTTGTAAAAGATTACAAAAATTTACGAAAAATGGTTAAAAATTGACTATAAAGGGCAATAACTCCTTAAGGGGTCAACTGACCATTTTGGTCAAGTTGACTTATTTGTAGATCATACTTTGCTGAACATTATTGCTGTTTACAGTTTATCTCTATCTATAATAATATTCAAGATAATAACCAAAAACGGCAAAATTTCCTTAAAATTACCAATTCAGGGGCAGCAACCCAACAACGGGTTGTCCGATTCATCTGAAAATTTCAGGGCAGATAGATCTTGACCTGATGAACAATTTTACCCCATGTCAGATTTGCTCTAAATGCTTTGGTGTTAGAGATATAAGCCAAAATCTACATTTTACCCCTATGTTCTATTTTTAGCCATGGCGGCCATCTTGGTTGGTTGGCGGGGTCATCGGACACATTTTTTAAACTAGATACCCCAATGATGATTGTGGCCAAGTTTGGTCAAATTTGGCCCAGTAGTTTCAGAGGAGAAGATTTTTGTAAAAGTTTACGGACGACGGACGCAGGACGACGGACGACGGACGCAAAGTGATGAGAAAAGCTCACTTGACCTTTCAGGTCAGGTGAGCTAAAAAGGCATACATCAAATTTAACATCCTCATTTTGCTTATATTATACGATTTTATATATCTATGTAAAATCCACCCATAAAGGATGGAAGGTTTTAAGTACTGGTGTAAAATCGCGCGTTTGAAATTCGCACAGGTAGACATAAAATAATTTTGTCGTTCAAAGTATGACTGGATACATAAATACAGAGTCACGTAAAATGGATATCACAAAAAACAGACTTTACAGTAAAAGTAATACGTACTAATAAATAAAATAATTGAAATGGAATGTATGAACAGTTCATTAGTCATTGTTAGTTATTGAATGGAAACTATAGGAGCCGCCCAATATAGTACTACAAATTAAAATTAGCAAAGTGATTTTTCAATGGGAAAACCAAGTTAACAAAAACCTGTTTAATAAAACTGATGTACAAATGTATAACATGTAATTGTATAATTATGTTATTATATAAGTGATTACATATACTTTGTATGATTACCATGTTATACAAACAGTTAAATTAATATATAAGTTAATAATAACTTACCAATATCTTCTTCTATACATGTATTTAGTTTGACCTGGCTATTGTCACTTTTACAAAAATTCATCTTAATTGAGCATTGCTTGCATATATATAGCCCTACAAATAAAAAGTGTTAAACTATAAAATAATTCTTCAATTTTGTTTTACATGAAATAAAATATATCAGACAGGAAATGTAGGGTAGTGTAGCATCACTGTGCATGTAGTTTAAATGTATGTTTTTTCTTTTAAAAAGGGCTCTATAAGTAATCTACATACATGTACATGTAGGGTCCTAAAATTGAACTTTACAAAAGTATGCAATGCTTTTGATTTTTTTAGTCTCCATGGCCTATTAGTTCATTAAAAAAATATTATTCTCTGGATAAAGTTGTCTAGTGTTACATGTACAGTATGTTGTATGTAAAACATGTATTTGTAGGAGGCTTTTCCACGAGATAAAAGTTTTTTTAGTAGACAAAGAGCTGAACAACTTCCAGTAAGAACTGAAAATATAACTTAGGGGAAGAGAATAAAAACCTGACCTGCTAAACGTTAAATATGTTGAAATAGATTTTGATTATTATCATGATTCTGGTCTATAAATTGATTTTTTAAAGCAGAAAATAAATATATATTGTACCCTGGTTAATAGCTTGAAAATTAAAATTCTGTCCTAAGCTGACAAGGACATAAATATTTTGACCATTCTAACCCTCCCCTTGCTTTTTTAATCAAATGGTCCCAAGACAGAACAATGTATATACGGATATATATTATTTGCTTGCACTTTGCCATAGGAAATAAATAAGATGTCTTAGAAACAGGTCAGGTGTAAAAGAATATTCACATGCCCCTTTAACACCCACCCCCCCCCCCCCTTTTTTTAATCTAGCTAATGTATCAATTGTTGGTCCCCTAATTTCAGATTGACTATATGGAACAAATAAAAATTGATTGTAAGATTTGTACCTGTTCCTACTGGAATAACTTGTCCTGTATACAGCCTGTTTTGAAAGGGTGAAGATCCTTGGTCAGCTTTGGCTTTGCTGGAAGAGGGTTGGACGAGATGTTGACATCTTGCTCGACTATCATGTCAATGAATTCCATAAAAGTCCCTGTACTTCAAGCATATTCAAAGACAAGATGATGTAACAACCATGGGAAAATAAACCACTCCTTGTCTTATATAAAATAAGGAGTCCTGTTGGAAATTCTACACCATAGTTTTCAGTATTATTCAGACTTCCTAAATGTAGATGAATGGTAGTCTGTATCTGTATGAATATGTTTGGTTACCAATGCTGGTTTCAATACCACCGTAGAGAGAGTGTCGTTGATTTATTGATGGTACACCAGAGCAGTTTTGACACTCTCAATCTCAATTTTGGTGCGAGCAAGGTGGTTCCACTCACTCACTTTTTTTTTACGAAGAATGATTTAGAATACTTTTGTTTTGCTCGTTGAAATCTAAAAACACTTTTTGCTGTTCATGGACTTATTTTTCCAATCAATATTTATCATGTTTATTCACTAAATTATTGTCATGATTGTGAAATTTCTTGGCAGTAATTATTTTTTTTGGAAATGCTATTTTGGTCTTTAGTGCATTCAGATATCTTAAATAGTTTGTAATATGTAGATGTATAAGGCTAGGATAGCCCACATGCTCATCCTAGATTATTAAAGTCACAAACTTCACTGTAAACATATGTCTGCCAAACCATCACTGGGAGCTGACATGTTTGAGATCTTACCCAAGGGAGATAAGTCAATGGAAGAGCATAAAAGATGGACTCCCTGGTTTCAGACAATTTATTGATTTTTGGACTTACAGTACAAATACGTCTTATTTCATTTTTCAGACAAATTGATTTTACTTGTTCGTATGATTTTATGAACCATTTTAGTACCAATTATGTTTAGAATTGAATTAAAATCAAAATCAAAATGTGTCAATTTGGGACTAAAATCACCATTCTTCCAAGGCATAAATTAACATATAATAGTCATTTGCCAAGCTTAATATTTTGTTTTGATATAAAACATACCCCATAGTTAAAACCGATATAAGTTGCAAACAAATCCGGAATGGGTCTTGCAAGATAGAAGCGAATGAAAACCACGTAAATTCATGTATGAAAAACCCCGCCTTTGTGTCCCTGCTCCTGGCAATGTGCCAAATCGTTTAAAATTTCATTTGTATTGATCATAACATAGTAAAATGGATGAGTTTCAGCTGACATTACTCTAAAAACTCAACTACCCCATTTAATATGCTTCTGGGTCATTCTTAAAAGGCATAAAAAAGTTGGATTTTTCCTTGATTTCATTATGAATTTACAGAATTATGCAAATGAGGCTGTTACTAAAAATAGATACGATTCTGGGAAAAATTAAGTGGTCAAATTCTTTTATTTTATGTCAAGGATTAAGATGATGTATAAAAATTTGTCAAGTTGTGATTGTCGATTTGGACGATTTTCTGAATATTGCATGGTTTTCTGGCGGATTGGCTCTTAAGAAAGCTACTCTAATCTGCAGAGGAAGTAAATTAAGTATTTTGCTGACATGTCCTGTCCCGTCGGTAAAACCATTGTACACCCATAACAGGAGGTGTTTTGAAGTAGTTTTTTCCAACACACTCTCCAATGCCCTCTTCAGCCAAATTTAGGAAGTTCTGTGATAACCCTAAATAGAGTTGAGATTAAACCCCTATCCATGACTACTACCTAATTAAGTCTTGAACAGCTTCGCAGAGAAGAATGTATTGAAAAATGTGAAGGATGTTGAATATAAAATACAATTGAATTCGTTAATATTTGTATACTTGTGTGATAGTTTCTCATGTCTACAGTGATACAATCAATTAAATAAACGGAGATAACACGAAATGTGTCAATGTCCTTTAAGGAATGTTCACAAGTACAAGTTATTATGTAATTGATATTGGAGTTTAACATCTGTTGAAGGGATAAATGCAGTAAAACAATATTCGTCATAAAGGAACACCCATTCAGCGGAGCTTTCTGAAAATTAAAGAGCTGTAAAACTGTTTGGTAGATGTTTCCAAAAAAAATATTGTCTGATCCGATGGATCAAAAGTAGGAAAAAATGGAAAAAAATAATGCTGAATGCACTTGAAATTTCACTACAGGATTGAAAAGGTAATCATGGTGTTCCGTGGAGGAGTTAAGTGCAAATCTACATGATTTAAAAAACGTCAAGCGAACGATGGGGCTACATTTGTACTTTAGTGAATGACATACGAAAGCTTCTTATTCTAAATTTAAACAGGAATACATTGAATTGAAGAAATACTTTTTTAGTCGAGGTGAATTTTTTTTCTGAATTTAATCCATTTATCCTTGAATTGACTAGGAAAGACACGTTATAAATACCTGCTTTAAACATAATCTAACGATGATCAGGAGAATCAGCCTGACTGTCGTCTGGCCGTGTCGTGTATACCTTAAACTTTAATGGAAAAAAAAGAAATCATATGAATATACCAACATACCAAGTAGTAAAACACGATCGATTGTTGATTAAATAAATATTGAAGACATAGAGAACAAGTTTACAATTAATCCAAAATGTAGGTTCTGCGATATGAATGGCGATAATTTCGATAGCCACAGGAAAATGAGGGTAGACATTTAGCCATTCCACCTATGACCCTTCAGAGAGTTGTTGCAAAGGTTTTTAACTTTCAGAAGACGAGACGAGACATTCTTTAAAGAAACGTGGGGTCGGATTTAAATTTTCGAATCGACGTGGCTACGTAATTATACATCCCGTACAGTTAAACCGCCGCCCTCATCTTCATGGAAGAAATCCATGAACGCATTTATATATCCCAGTAAACCCTTTGAGTTTAATTATTTTATTATTTTGAAAAGGTATTTCAATTAGTTTTTTGCACCTGCTTTAACTGATTTTGAATACACATTTGATATAAATGAAGATGTCTAGTGACAACAACATATATATATATATATATATATATATGCCATCTACTTGCCACTATACATCATGTACTGTGTTACAACCCTAGATAAAGCCGACGAGGAAAGGCATGACATCGACCACCGAAAGCTATATTTTTATGTAGCTTAGGTGGTCGAGTGGTGTATGGCGCTGGACACGATGTCTCAGACGCAAAGGTTCGAATCCCGCTGAGGGAAGAACAAAAATTTGCTAACGCAAGTTTGAAGATCTAACAATGTTGGGCTAAATTTGAGACGTAGATATATAAAATATACGTCATTTTTGAAATTTTAAAATTGTACAAGCGTTGTTCGATCATTTTTATGCCCGATGACCGGGCTTGACCTCCAAAATGACCGAAAAGATGCTTGTGAGGTTCTATTTAGAAAAAAAAAATATCAAAAGAGTATTAATGTATAAGAAAATCAAACTCCTAGGTCTTGAAAAATAAATCATAAAATATGTTGCATATAACTAGACTAGCCATCACACATGTATAATAAAGAACAGTATAAACATGCTGTCATATTTTATTCAACTAAGAATGGCCTTTTTACATCTGTACAAGATTTTGTCTTTTTCAATGATTATTTTGCAAAAGTTATTACTTGTACAATTGATTTTGTTTAAAATATTACCCGAACAATGCCATCAAACAAGTTATTACAATATTTGTCTACTAGAAATAACGTATACACACCATATCTTGTGTATATATGTAGGACCTTGAAGTGCGATGGGGACGCTAAAGTACAATGGTCACGCTAAAGTCCGATATGTCTGCGCTAAAGTGCGATGCCTCCATACGCTAAAGTCCGATGGTCCGCGAAAGTATAGACGTAAGAAACGTAGTTCGATTATGACGTTAACAGTCGTTTATACAAACCAAAAATGAATATGCCGGAAGATAAATTAAGAATATTTGATTGACAACTTTTAAACCGAATGTCCCTGACTTAATTTCAGACCTAACCGTGCTTTGTCGGCTGAAGCAAATGTGTTTTTTTTCGGGTGCTAGAAGAAGGACTTGTGTCCTGTAGTCGACCATTTTACTATATAGATATACGCATAGGTATCCTGTATCCTGCTTCTATTGGAAGCGAACGGATACATTTAAATAATTGTTTACGTTGCAGTTTACTTTGCGGTCCCCGTTAAAATATTGTCGATTTTATTGAAAAGTAACGTCGGTAAAATAAAGGTACGTGTTTTTAAGCGTAAATTTTAAATTGTCGGCTAAACATAGTTTGTACAGTGTAGGAAATTATAACATGTATTTGTTCTCGTTACGAAAAAGGAGAAAGCTCGGCGAATATCGCATTTGTCTCGCATTTAAATTAAAGCTTCACGCCTTGTACAAATAAATGTTACTTATTCCGACATTGAACGAATTTTGTACTTGTAATTTACAATGACGACTGAAAAAAGGAGGAAGGGGTGTTCAAATTATGGATAGACTGTGTGAGCGGCAAGCTACACCAATTATCCAAATATTTAATACGCCCGAATTGTTAAAAATTCATTTAACAGGAAATACAGTATATTATGACACCTAAATAAATTACCCTTTTAGCAATTATTACGTGGTCGGTCTTCTAGATTTAGAAACAATCACTTAAGCCTACCGGTAAATTATATCACATATGTTATACTTAGCATACTAGCTTCTGCAAAAATACTTTTTTTTTTTTAATCTATGTATTTTAACGTTTTAATCCCTCGAACCTTACCCTATTGGTCCATTGCACTTTAGCGTGATATACCATCGTACTTTAGAAAACAAACAACCATCGCACTTTAGCGTGAGACACCATCGTTCTTTAGAGTAGACCATCGCACTTTAGCGTGACCATCGCACTTTAGAGTCCTATATAACAACGTTCAAACCTATGATTGCGTTGGATAAAAACCGCAATTTTTATACATGTGCATGCAAAACAAATTTCTTGTTAGAGGGGTCTAAATACAGCACAAACAACATTTTCCAAAAGACCAAAAAAGTGAAAAAGTATATTTTAACAGTGTATATATATAAATAAGTACGTCTGAACCAGTGACGACTCTACAACAGATTTTATCCATCGGATCACCAGCAGTGATGGTGATACAAGACTGAAAATACATTATGTATATATAATTCGTCTAAACAACAGCCCAACAATGTTAGATCTGTAATTTTGTTCTTCCCTGGCCACATGAGTTCGAATCCCGGCCAGGGAAGAACAAATTTGCTTCCGCAAATTTACAGATCTAACATTTTTGGGCTGTTGTTTAGACGAATTATATATATATATATATATATATATATATATATATATATATATATAGTTTTGTCAAAATATACTTTTTCACTTTTTTGGTCTTTTGGAAAATGTTGTTTGTGCTGTATTTAGACCCCTCTACCAAGAAATTTGTTTTGCATGCACACGTATAAAAATTGCGGTTTTTATCCAACGCAATCATAGGTTTGAACGTTGTTTTCAATTTAGACTTTTTTATATTTTTTCGTTTGGGCTTGTATTATATTTGCCTTCGGGTTTATATGATCCGTTCAACCTATTTCAACTCTTTCAAAATTCAAGAGTCTATCCTAAATTGAGGTAAATTATATGGCCTTCCAAATACCGTTTCGATTCCTAACATCACTGAAGAGACATTTATTGTCGAAATCCGGATATGGTGTACAAATTGTTTTTTGCACCTCAAGTTTGCGGTAGACCATCTTTTCCGCAAGTTTATTGTTTTCTGTTTAGTAATAAATTATTTATAAGATCCATTTTGTTGCATCTTGTGATTCGCTTATTTGGCAATCGCCAATGGCAGTCAGCAGGGTTAAAGAACATCAGTTATTCGACCTGCTAGTCAAATGCGT